GGCCATCAAGAAGGCGAGGAGGGGGAGCGCGGCGGAGAATCTCATTTTGGCGAGGAGTGAATGATTGAAGAGCTTGTTCGTTTGTTTGTTTGAATGAATTGATCGTGATGAGGAATTGTAGAATGCGAGGATCTGGGACTACTTTATACTGCCTTCCAGGCGTATGGAGGAACCCACAATGGCTTTCAGATCAGGGGTTTCTAGAGAGTTTCTTGTCCTGTGGACTCCTAAGAGAAAAGCCTAGAAAATTTGTTCTTATATCTTACTAGTTTGCCCAAAAGTTGCCCGGATACAAGGCAGTTAGTAGTATCAAGACGAAGCCCAGCACGTCTGATGAAGGCTTCTGCAGGACCTCGCTACAGGTACTCAATCATTTCACGAGTCGGAACCATATAAGAAAAGAGGGCCCAGTTTGGCATTAAAGAGAGCCAACCAGATACAGGATTCCGAGCGAGTTAGAGCAGAATTAAGCATAAGATTCGCCAAAAGCATGTTCTGAGAATGTCAAATATGAGAGAATTAGAGCTAAATCATGGCATGAAATAAATTGAATGCATATTGAAGCCTTGGCGCGACGAGGTCGCCATTTAGTTGTACTAATAGGTACGAGTCTCGTCAAAGATCACCAACGCAAGTCATTAATTTTACTTGAAAACAAAGGCTGAGAGGATTAGAGCAAAATGAAGGCATAACGCGCGCTAAGAGCGTGTTCTGGTGGCCAAGACAGCTGCAAAAACGATTTACATGGTTCAAATTCCTGGAAATACCGAGTACCGAACTTGCTTCATACACAACAACTATTGACTCTATAGTCTTTTTTGAAATTTCGAGAGTTATGTAGCAACTCAAAGTTACATTCTTGATTGTGTTTCATCGATTGTTACTACCCCCTCCCATGAATAAATGTCGAAATTATAATTTCGCAAGGGATCTTACCAGGCTTAAACCAATCAACTTATATCTTTGAGCCAGTATTTAGTCTATACAGTGGAGTCGACAGGGCTTTGAGCCATTAAGAAACCACCGCTCTATGATTTATGGGCCTAAACTGGGTCCGAAATTTATTCATGGGAGGGGGTAGTAAATTGTAGTTCAAAATCGGCTCAAGTGAAATGCAGCAAGGCGAGGGGACTAAGGTTTAAAAAGCGAGTGAGTTTTCACAGCCGCCCTTGGCGAATACAACTTCATCTCACTCACACGACCCTTTTAGCAAACTTAATATTCGAAGCCCCTCTTCCCCGCCAACAACCGTCGGCTCGGGATCCATTGACTCTATAGGCTACAGCACCGATCTCAAGTCATCATTACCAATTGTATTTATATCAATCATTCTATCATGGCTCAAAATCTGCTCAAGTGATATGCGAGATGTAGCATTTATTATTATTATGGCTGTGCACTTCCATGGGCTGGGCAAAAGCGACTTTGTAGTGCAGGAAAATAAGATAGGCCTTATGTGGATCATCCGTTCGGGATGGAGTTATCAATCTCTCGAGAAGGAGGAGCAGACACACACCGATAGCTCAAAGTCCACACTCTCGACATTCCCATGTCAGGAGAAATCCTGTTTTGAGCTGGTATTTACTACTAGTACTTGAGATCAAACTCGAGCTTCGTCGATTCTTATGGGTCCGTCCTACCTGCACGGACACGTCAAGACCCTGACCTCGACCCGATGCTCCGCAAGAATCCGGTACTTACTCCTCTTGACCAAAAAGCATCATCGGCTTTTAAGGTGAGATGAATACTCTCCTCTGCCACACTACCTCTTTCATGATATGTCAATCGCAGCTTTGCTGAACCCAACAACGGTATCACATGGACCTTGGACTGCGGAGCTACCTACCATAGTCAAAACACGTATACTTAGAGCTGCGGCGTCCACAATGGTTCCGAAAATCCGAAGCAACAGCCACTCAAGAAGATGGTGATATGCCGAACCCAAGCTCGAGTGCATTGGGAGAAACTCTTGACTCTCAATACGCCCTCGAAATAGCTCAGGCTTGGCTGCCTCGGCCCCGTATGTCCCCAGAGCCAGCTTCACACTACGCGTACTCTCCTCTTATCAGATGATACCAACGATCCTGGAAAATGAAGATCCAGAGGCATTTCGACAGTACTAGTGCTCCCGATGGTAGGCTTCCCTCATTGCCATTGACGGACCTTGTTCAGGTCACTGGAAACTTACTCGGAAGTCCCCCATTCCAGTCACGCCTCCGAACTCCCGCATAATCACTGGCCTGCGTCTCCGACGACCGCTTATAGTCTTCGAAGAGCTCGACAAGGTGACAGCCGAATTCTTTCTTGGGACAAGCTACCAAAGATTGCCAAAAAAGAAGCGTGTGGACCGCCTAATTCCCAATCCCGCCGATGATGTGCCAAAGTCGACTTCGCTACTTCAAACTCGTCTGCTTCTGCTAATAGGTAAAGTAAAAAAAAAAAAAACCCCCCCGGGCTGCTGCTAGGTACAGATTCCGCACCTACCTCCCTTCCATTTCCCCCTCCTAGGCAGAGACAGGTCAAGCCATGTTCATAAAGTAAATGCCAGAGCCGTACTCTTGAAGATGTGAGAGCTGGAGAAGGGAAACTGCAAGAGAAAAAAGGGTCCTTGGATGGGCCGCGGGGTACATACTGCTCGCTCGATCCGATATCAGGAATAAGAATTCTGCACATGCGAAAGACTCAGTGAGCACGGCGGGCTTGCATAGCGATGGATCCCATAGCCGGTATTCAGGGCAGAGACTGGAAAGACCGGCACTCCGAATGAACGAATGAATGAATGAATGAAGTCCAGCTACCAGTCTCCCTCCTCTATTGCTCTCGGCTCTACGATTAAAGTCCATCTGCTACTGGGACAGCTCAGCCGATCAGGTTACGAACCGAACTCATCGGATCGCTTGGTCGCTCACGGACGATTGTAGTGTCTAACAGTAGTCTTGTTTTATTTACCTTCGCCGGCCGTACAGTCAGCAACCAGGAGCTTTAATTCAGCAACGGCATCTCCAACAAAGGTTAGCGAGGAGAGGTCAACTTAAAATCACCGAGGCACTCTCGGAGAGTCTGATCGGGTTGAGAGCAAGAGTTAAAATGAAAAAGGTCCCTCGTCATATTTCCACCATCACAATCGGCAGCTAGCCATGATGTTCATAATCGGAACTCAATCGAGCTGATGCGGGAGTTCGGATGGTTGTATATGGATACGTACGGGCATGGATGGATGTATAAGTCTCTAGTCTGCAGAGCCTGTGCAGGACCAGCCGGCGCTGCCATCTACTCTGACTAATCGTCGGCTCGCTTAGGTGGGCCTCCTTTCAGCCTTTCAGTCTTAGTCGGTATAAGCGACTGCGGATCGGAAGCGAGTGCGGATTTTTCGAAATGTGTTAGAAATTTTTATATACTATAGCACATACTATTATAACCCAAAAATATTTACATAAATAATTAATCTATTATTATATCTTTTTTCGAAACATTTAAAATCGTATTATCTAATGAAACATCTGATCATCGATCGCTATTTAGAATCTGATTCGTCTTTTACTTTACGCAACGAATCGTTTGAATTTCTACTACTATTAGAATTGAAGCTATCGCTATCGATATTAATACTAAGAAAAGGAAAAACATCTTGCTTTAAAAAGGGGTCTTTAATAGTGTCGATTGTAATCATCAAATTATCGTAATCGAGAGAAAGTTCGGGTTAAAAGAGAGTTGGTCGAAGAATACCTTTTTTACGAAGCCGCAAAGTTTAACGCTTAAAAGGTTATTGCATCTATTAAATCTCTTCCGAATCGAAAATTAGAATAAGTATTGTATCGTCGTCTTTAATAATTAAGCTTATAGCAAAGCGTTTTCGTATAATACTTTTACGCTCGCCCTCAATTATGCGATTCCTTTACGATATTTAGCATCTTTTTCTTTTTTTTAAATCTTATCGACGCGTTGTTATTTTGCAGCAGATTCAAGATTTTCTTTACTTTGCTGCTTAATAGCAAGCTTGTTATCGATTAATAATACGATTTCAAATGTTTCGGAAAAAGGCATGCTCGTAAATTAATTATTCATATAAATATTCTTTAGTTGGTTATAATAATAATTGCTATAGTATATAAGAATTTCTAACACATTCGAAAAATCCGCATTCGCTTCCGATCCGCAGTCGCTTATACCGACTAAGACTGAAAGGCTGAAAGGAGGCCCACCTAAGCGAGCCGACGATTAAAAGCAATCCGTTTTCGCATTTGGCTATCTCCTTTCTCACTATATATATTGTCGGCTTGTCGCGCCAGTGTGCAGCGGCACGTCCGACTACTTGGTGAACCTGTACCGCGGACTCTCGTCTCCCAAGTCCGCCACCTCATCGTCGCTCATACCCAGCGGCACCTTCCAATCCTCTAAACCCGCATCTCGTCTCCGGTTCGCGCGGTCGTACACAAACCACATGGTCGCATACATGAGGCCTGAAAAGCCGATCATGCCCAGCGTCACCGCGTGGCCTCGCACGTACCGCGGCCTGTCCACCGTCGGGTAGATGAAGCTGCTGAGGATCCCAGCGCAGTTACCGATCGTCAGCTGCAGGCCCGTCGCCGTCGTCCGCTTGGCGTACCGCGGATTGTTATTCGGGAGCCAGGCGAGGGGGATGCCGGCTGCGACGTAGAGACCGGCCGCGACGAAGAAGCAGCCGAGGTAGTGGATGCCGGGACTAGCACGCGAGAGGAGGATCCCGTAGCCGATCATGCTGGATGTGCAGCCTGCGAGGACGAAGGGGGCGCGGCGGCAGGTGCGGTCGGAGAGGTGGGCTATGATCATGTAGACGACTCCGCCTAGGAAGTAGCAGGGGATGGTGAGGAGCTGAGTCTGTGCTATTGTCCATTCTGAAGAAGTATTAGTGTGAATTTGGTTTCTGGGAAGCGGTCATATACCGGTACGTACTACCGAGCTGTGAGATGATGGTTGGTAGGAAAGTGGAGAAGCTGCATTGAGTTTGTCAGTAAGTTCAAGTTGGGCTTGCTGTATATATGTACTATGGAGCGTGAGCGCTTGAGAGCATACCCGTAGAGCATCGTATCCACACCAAATTGACCAAAGTAAAATGCCCAACACTTCCAGTCCGTAAAGCCCTTCATTACGTCTTTTTTGGAGAATTCCTGGGCCGCGGCAGTCTGACCATACTCGCAAGCTTTCCGGATACCGATCAGTTTCTTGTCCTCGTCCGTGAGGAAGTAAGCCTGTGAGAGTCAAAATCAGACCATTAGAATCGCAAAAAGGCTTTGTCCATATGTGCGTACTGTTTCAGGATTATTTGGCAGCAGCCAAAGTGTTGCGATACCCATGAACACAGTCGGCATCCCTTCCAGGATGAAGATCCATCTCCAGCCGCTCAGTCCTGCAACGCCTTGCATGTGTCCAATTCCGTAAGCAAGGAGACCCCCGAAGCCACCAGCCATAGCTGCGGAGACGAAGAGATATCCGATACGGACGGCCAGCTCGTTCTTGGTGTAGAAGAAGGTCAGATACACGGCCAGTCCTGGGAACAGGCCGGCTTCAACGGCTCCGAGAACCAGGCGGACGGCAATGAGGCCCCCGTAGGACTGGACCACTCCCCCCAGGGTTGCGACAATGCCCCATGAGGTGGCAATAAATGCTATCCAGCGAGACGGGGTGAATTTCTTCAAGACACTGCAAAGCAATCAGTCAATCAGTCATCGACGGACCGTTGCAAGCTGCGAGTGCAGGTCCGGGGGCATGGTTTGGGTCGTACAGGTTGGATGGTACTTCGCATAGGATATACGTGACGAACAGCAGCGAGACAGCCGTCTGATACATGTTTCCATGCATCCCCAAATCTTCTTCCAATCCATAAAGCCGGGCATTGCCGATATTGACACTGGACTCCATTAGCAGCTATTCCAGTGCGTGAGAAAAGAGAGATGCAAAAGCAGGATATCATGTCTTACCGGTCCAAGAAACTCAGGAGATACAGAAGCATGACTACCGGAATGATATGCAAGTCCAACTTCCTCACCAGCGTCTTCTCGGCGGGCCCGCCAAGTAGCATTCTTTGGCCTGTGGCCCCGACGGCTTCTTTGCATTCAGGCTCGGACATGATTGTAAAGGGCGGAATTGTAATCTGGCGACCCCCTTTCCTTGCCTTGAAATCTTTCGGTACCGGTACGGAAAAGATAAAATATCCAAAAATCGGAAGAAGAGAAAAACAGGTTTCCCCCGTGGGTACGAATCACGTGGGAGCAAGAAATCACTTGCCAGCTCAGTAAAAGCAGTGATTTCCATCTTCACAGCACCTACAAGAAGGGACTCGGCGATGTACTTATAGATTCCCGAGTGAGACTTCCGTGTCACCGATCCAAGGTTGTACGAATGGATGCTTGTGCGATGTCCAGCCCTCCTTGTCTGAGTCTGACTCAGCAAGTGGGAGAACCGGAATATTCGGAAGAAAAAGAAGAAGAAATACGTCCAAGAGCAGTGGGGGAAATATGAAAAGAAAAAGCGTGAAAGAGTTGAAGAGATCTGAAGCCTAACTCTGATGTAACGCGCGGTATATCATATCCTTCCACTCTTACCTACTTCGTCCGTTTGTGTCTACCAGATTTTCGGCTAAAGCGCTACGTACGAACGTGGCCAGCTTACCAACTTCATTTCGGTTGATCGAAAGCCCGTACATGAAGTCAGTCGTGGAGATTGAAAGACTTTGTATGGATATCCTGTAGTGATTTTAAATCATATCTATTGATAGATTAGTGGTGGTGTCGCGAAGGAGTGACGAGGGTACTGTAAGTAAGCGAGCGGCGTACGAAGTAGGACAGAGGTGAAAGAAAGAAAAACGAGGCCATCACCTGAAATCTCCGGCACCACAAGAAAGGCTCGATCGAATAGGGGATGAGAGAAAAGTCTCCAGCGTCCAAAGCATCCTCGATCCTATTCAACATTACTTCAACAACCACCCTTCTTCGCATCAACAACCGAGCAAATCGCCTCCTAGCTCACCTCCTTTTTACTAGATGCAGTGATTCAGTCACCAGCTCTCCTTTTTTGCGTCCTAGACCAATTCCAGGATGAATTTTCGTCGTTCCTTTTCCGCTGCATCAACCTTCTTGATCGACTCATCTACGCGCGTCTGCCCATCTACCCTTTCAAATTACTGAATCGCCTCTGTGTAACGGCGAAGCCAGCGAAGGGCCATTTGTCTGGAAAAGGAAAAATCACGACAAGATAAGCGAGTTTAGCAGTCTATACATTTCTGGTACTGCAATGTCCTGCTCTCCGTCTCTCGGCGCATAACTTCCGCCTTTCAGAACAATCGTCTGTGCTAGTCGTAAAGCATAGGTACAAAGTAAAATATATCCCCTGCACGGCAATCACTATTTGTATCATTGAAGAAGTACGGAATCCCGGGAGGTGGCTCAGCTGCGATCGGCCTGATCTCCGCCTCGCGGCGCGCCTCTTCGCGCATAACTCCCGTCTTTCTGAACAATCCTCTGTGGCGATCGTACACCATGCCAGGACCCATAAACTCCCTGATGAGCTTATGCAAGGCGTAGCAGCGGATGGTCGACGGCCGGAACCAAGCGCGGGCGCTGTCCCAGTCGCTATCGATGTTCTCGACCCAGATGGGAGAGATCTCATCGAGCCTGGAAGGTCCATTTCTGGCGAAGTGGACGGTCCACAGCGCGGAACAGGTCAGGCCCAGGCAGGTGTTGGCCGCCCGATTCTGGGTGAAATGCATGATGCGGTCGATCAGTTCCGGGGCCAGTCGGTCAAGTCTTGCCAGAGGATTTTGCAAGTTTTCCATAGGCCGCCAGAGGATGCTTTCGGTCTTGGGCCAAGAGATGATTGGCCGGGATATATCTAACGGCTTGCTTTCTGTGCATTTTCTCTTGATGTCTTCAGCTTTGATTTCCTTGGCTATCGCCGAAATTGTCTCCTTCTGCGCCAGTGACTGAGTCGACGACGCGAGTTCGATGGCTGTAATTTCCGTTGCTCCATCGTTCCCGTCCTTGGTTGAGTGTGAGAATGCTTGACTGTGTGCTGGTGACGGCATCGATATCACAGGCGTGGCGGGAGAGTTGGATAGTGCTGCAAGCTCCTCAATGTTTGCTGCTGAAAGGAATGCTGTATCTAGTTTTGGTGACAGGGCTGGTTCTGATCGCGTTTGTTCCATTTTGAGATTCGTTTTGTGTTCCGCTATGTTAAAGATGAGTGATGATTGGCTGTTCGAGTTTTCGATTATCGTGCGCAGTTGCACTTAAAAAAAGAATGACCAAGTTGGGGTATTTGATATATGAGAGGCTGAAAAATGTGTTGATTGAATGAAAGACTGGCTACCGCCCTGATTATATACACCCACACCATACGAGACCTAGTCGCGCCTTCCAGTGGGAGTCGCGAGACTGTTACGCTAGTGGATATTTCCGCTGTAGTGAACGTATGGCTTGAAATGGTGCTCAAGCTTGCCGAAGAGGTTCAAGAGGACGGACGGCAGTTGAATCTCATTTGATTGTTTGGAAGTTGGCCTTGGTGTGGAATAGGCGGACCGGGCGTTTTACGAAGGGAGCTCGGGTTGTTGATATTTAACGAGCTCAAGTGACCCTCTTCAGCTCTGGATATCACCTGAAGGGCATGACAGGTAGGAAAGATCCCAATAATGATCGACATGTTCCATGGCCGAGTATCTCCGAAAGCCCATCGTGTCGTTACTTTGGCTCTGGCCCGCTCTATTTGGAGTTCAAATTGAGATCTGGAAGCGCAGCTTTGAAGAAGCCCCTTTGGCGAGCATGATTCCTCACTTTGGCATTATTCAAGTCCAAGTCCAGTCCAAGTCCAAGTCCACCCAGAATCCCACCTTCCGCGACAGTTCGATCCCAGAGCTGGAAGGTACTGTCCGAGTCGACCCTTTCTCTCTCCGTAGGCCTGATCCACAGATTGATCACGATTCCTGTAGCCACAGCAACGACGATGCCAAGTCGGGTCTGGATCTGGCATCGACGACACAGCTCGGGTCCTAGTAGAAGCCCGGCATTTTCCACCTGGGAGTCCAGTCAGCTTGACCTGCTTGCCGCCAGTACATGTATATATGTCATATTATATTAAACATATCAGGCTCTATCGGGGAAGGAACTCACGATCTCCTTGTGGTTGCGTTGCGCTCTTGCATGTCGCTTACTGTATACTCACTGCTCAGCACTGGCCTTTAGGGAGGTGACTCCTGGGGAGGAGCGGCAGGCCTGGCGATATTCAATATGGAGAAGGAAGATGCCATAGATTGTACCGGTCAGTATCTTGATAAGAAGCTGTCTTCTTTCCACAGCAGTCCTCGGATTATACAGAGGGAAGTTTCGGTACTTAGAGAGGCGAAGGGATCAAGGAGATCCAAACGAAGGGGTACAACGGGCCTGTATGCGACTCGAACGCCAGTGCTTGGAGTGTGTGGTAAGCTTCCCAGGGGTGTCTCTAACCATCAATGTCGAGTTCCGAATCCTTTCCATTGAAGCTTGATTGATTGATTCGATGTTTTGATATGAGTCTTGCACTAAGCGATGGCGAAGCATTGAGGGCAAGAAATCAAATCGGAGCGCACGAACGAACGCACGCAACGGTATAATACGTAATTTATAAATTATGAATTCCATGAGCGAAGAAGTATACACTCGTTCTGAGTAAAAGGCTATAGAGACATGGTTACCCGAATCGTGATGGCCAAGCCACCCATCGTACTACTATAAGTAACACCTAAAGCTTAACTGAATAACAGCTTCCTTTTTGTTTCTTATCTTTCTCATCGCTTCGTCTTCCGTAATGCCAAAGAGCAGAAAATCAAATATTCTCTATGGAAGAGGTAGTTCGGCACGCGGGCAGCTCCCGCCCAGGTCAGATGACTAAGCAAGCATGCAGCAAAGGCCCGTCTTCCTGTGCAGGGAGAATCTTCAACTTCTTATCTCTCCCCCTCATCTGCCCCCCACGACAACCCTTTCATCCATGGGCGCCGCTCAGCCGTCACAATTGAAGCTGTGGACTGTTTCTACCATTGTTAACTATCTTTCCATTTGTGGCGTAAGAGGGGGCGCTGGGTCCATTGAGCGCACCCTCCTTCTCCTTCTCCTTCTCCTTCACCCTCCGTCACACATACAGTCATAACTTTTTTCGGCCGATGAACAGCGCAGATATCCACGAACAAAGCTCATATGCTACCACAGACCTTGTCTGTACTTATGAGGACCATTCTTGTGCTCCGAACGAGAAGAAGTAATTGAGACCGAGGCCGCGTCACGACTCGAGCCCATCCTTATCTTTCAATCATGGCCGCGCCGCCTCCCCGGGGAAGAGGCTCCCCTCTCACGAAGATGGATGAAAGTCCCCAAAGACCAGAACCGACAGCTCTGCAGACCCCGAAAAAATTGCGTAGCGGCTCTAACGCAACGCTGCGACCAGAGGGTAGCGCCCCCATACCGAAGAAGAAGAGAAATCACCGCGGAGGGAAGAAGAAGCGCAGGAGGCAATCTTTTGCAGCGTCTACGGAAGATGGCTCTGGCATGCCGCGAACGTCACACCACGACGACGACCAAAGCGCTGCTCGGGCAAGCTTCTATCGGGTGCAGGGGCAGAATCTGAGCAATACAAGCCTCGAGAGCGAAGCTTTGTTGGACCACAGGTATGTCGAGGTAATTGAGCATGGCAATGATTCCTACTGATTGATCTTGTGCTCGCAGAGAGCAGCAAAGTATGCGACCTCGCAGAGCGTCTACCATGGGTCAAAGTGCCTTCGGCCTCCCTTCGTACGATAGCCCATCTTCATACCGACAACAATATCAGAATCCCTTTATACAATCCGATATCGGAGGCCGTCGGCAAAAAACGTCAAAAAATAGTAGTGGTGACGAAGAGGATGTGACAGACGAGAGGGCACCCTTGATTACCGAGTCATCAAGGTCGAAGAGCTCGGGTGCGGTTCTAGGGGGATACGGCAGCAGCCAGCGTCGACCCTCAAGCAAGGCATCTTCTACCAAGAAGAAGACCATCTTCGATAGGGCAAGCCCATCGCTCCACATACAAGACGAGTACAATGTGAATTACCCACCCTCAATGCCTGGCAGCCCCACCCTCGAGGCCAATCGGGACATGAGCTTTGGAGACATGATGGCCAGAGACGACTTCGCTCCATCCAGAGCGTCTCCTCGCGCAGGCCGAGACGATTTCAGTGAGATTGCGGTCGATGATTCTTCGATGCCAGGGGGCTCTTCCGACAAGGATATCGGCTTCCAGGGGAGAAGACATACTATTGCACTAGAAGCCGAAGGGGATGTATGCTTTCCAGTGGAGGGCATGTCCGAAATGGCCGAAGAGGATATGGCTCAAAGACAAGGCGAGGCTTTCCGACGAGCCAACGGTCCGAGACGGAGAAGAGGCAAGTGGCCGGACTTGGCCATGCTCGATGAGTGGAGCAGGTTTGAGAAAGAGGGCAAGAGCGAAGGACAACGGGCCAAGAAAATTACAGAGCCTCAACTGATAGGAGGCCGACTGCGACCGATCCATAAGGGGTGGCACCGGGCCGAGGATGATGCCCCATATCGATTCACGTACTTCAACGAAGATTTCCAGAGCACGATTCACAGTCAAACTATCTCGGAATTGGTACAGCCTGGCACCAACTTCCGGGATCTGTTCGTCCCGGATCCCCCGGAGCTGACCGATAGCTCCGATTCGGAAGATGGCGAGGAGCGTACGCGAGATGATAGCTTCCTACGACACGTGGACGGGCAGAATGGTGATTCTAGAGCACCAACGCGGCAAGGCTCGTTGGCAGAGCGGCCAGCGTCCAGGCGTGGTGGTTCGGTATTGGGGGATGCCCGGCAAACTTCCGGGGGCACCTCCGGGGCTGCAACGCCCAATGGGTTACATAAATCTCCGCCGTCGAAATCGCCAAGCGGCACCCCTCTTCCCAAGGAAGAGAAGCTGAAGCGATATGGAGATCGGCCGACGTGGTGGCTCGATGTTCTCTCACCCACGGATGATGAAATGAAGGTCTTATCCAAGACTTTCGGCATCCACCCTCTCACTGCAGAAGATATCATGATGCAAGAGGCTCGCGAGAAGGTCGAGCTGTTCCGGAACTACTACTTTGTTAATTATCGCTCCTTCGAGCAGGACATGAACAATGAGGATTTTCTCGAACCGGTCAACATGTATGTTGTTGTGTTCCGAGAAGGTGTGATCAGCTTCCACTTCTCCCTGACGCCACATCCAGCCAATGTCCGTCGACGGATTCGACAACTCAGCGACTATTTGATCTTGTCATCTGACTGGATTTCGTACGCGATCATCGATGATATCACCGATGTATTCGCTCCTCTCATTCAGAGTATCGAGGACGAAGTCGACGACATTGACGATGCCATTTTGAAGCTTCACTCGCCTGCCAATGACGAAAAGTCGCACAAGGATAACGATAAGAGATCGGAGGCAGGAGACGGTACCTCCGGAGAGAGCGGCGGCGACATGTTGCGCCGAGTTGGCGACGCCAGAAAGAAAGTCATGGGGCTGTACAGGCTGCTCGGGAACAAGGCAGATGTTATCAAGGGGTTTGCGAAGCGGTGCAACGAGCACTGGGAGATTGCCCCACGCAGTGAGATTGGACTCTACCTGGGTGACATTCAGGATCACATCATCACCATGACTGGAAACCTGTCTCACTACGAGAAGTACCCAACCCATTTCCGCCCGCCCGGGTGATGGTTGCTAACAGACACAGGATCCTCGCCCGCTCACATGCTAATTACTTGGCACAAATCAACATTCGCATGAATGAGCGCCAAGAGCAAACCGCCGACGTGCTCGGCAAACTCACCGTTCTCGGTACCATCGTCCTCCCCATGAACATCATCACCGGTCTCTGGGGTATGAACGTCTGGGTGCCCGGCCAAGAGTACGAGGGTGACTTGAGCTGGTTCTTTTGGCTCACTGCGGGCTTGCTTGCCTTCGGGCTAAGCTGCTTCTTTATCGCCAAGTGGCTGTACAAGATTGTTTGAGATGTATATACACAGCGAGACGACCTGCTGGACGTTGGTAGATGCGTCGGAGGGCGCCTCTATATCCCGCAGAGGCACGTGGGCTCAGTTTGGATCATGGGACACAGTACATGGACTGAACTGCCGACGGGGGGATCTTTGTACATCGCCAGCGGCTACGTGATTGCTTAATTGGAAATTATTCCCCGCCCTGCTGCTGAAAGTTGAAGATGTTTTGGTGGTGGGTGTCCGAGGGCTTCTTTTCTATTGGGCTGTACCTACTGACCATACCTGGGCAGGGCCGACGCGATGTTAGATTGTAGATCCGATTATAAAGAATCCACGAGGGGAATTCATAGTCACGGATCCCGTAGCCGATTCGAACAGTGAGAATAGCAACCGCCGAACTGAACAACCATCCTTCTGTTGATTACCTATGCGGCGCTTGCGTTGTGGGATGAGATATTTGACTCGCAGTATCGCAGCCCGATTGAGAGAGCATTCATTTCCGCAACCGAAAATGCCAGACAGACAGCCGGCTCACTTGGGCTTTTCTGTCCTCTAGCCCGTACGTTTTACGGGAATGGAGAATAGCTAGCTGGGTGGTAGGTATATCTTCATCAAGGATTTAAGAGGTAGGTAGAGGTAGGGAGGGAGACTTGCGGTTGAGAACTGCACTGCACACATATACATACATACTGTAGTAGTAGTACCGGTAGTAGATAAAAGTAGCTCGCCGTATGTATCCATTTTCCGCACCACATCCGCGGCTCGCCCCACCACCCTTCTTTACTGTAAGTACTTGTACGTACCTAGGTAGGTACTGTATCCCAGCCCAGCACCACACCACAATCCCGCTTACCCCACCAAACACACACCTTCCCCCACCCTTCAAAAAAAAACCCACATGCAAGGAAGAAGGGAAAAGAGGGGGAAAAAAAGAGAAAAAATATATATATATATATATTGCTCCCTTCTGGAAAAAAGACGAAGAAACATGCCTAGTCCTGATGGAATCCACCCACCTCAATCATCCATCCACCTTCCCCTCCAAGAAACGCTGCTCGCTCTCGCTCTCGCTCTCTCTCCCTTGGCGGTGCTGGGAAACGAACCCAGATTGAAACGGGTTTTTTCCAGCCTACCGTACCGTAGCTCTCTCTCCTCTGGTGGAGGAGAACCACAACGTCACGTGCGACCGTTACACCACGCCACCTTTTTCTTGCGGGGTTGGATGGGGGTTGTGTTTACCTAGGCTCTGGTGCTAGGTTGGTAGGTAGGTATATGGGTGGGTACCTAGGTAGCTGCGGAGGTATGTATGTATGTATGTATGCCCGCTCGCCTTGCCTGTTCTCCTACGTACGGGCCTTAGACCCTCCTCCTTATCTTTATCTTTATCTTTATCCTTATCCTTGTCTTTATCTTTATCTTTATCTTTATCCTTATCCTTGTCTTTATCTTTATCCTTATCCTCCGATTTCGATAGCGACAGACAGCAACAGCGACAGCAACAGAAGTACTTGCTTGCTTGCTTGCTTGCTTGCTTGCTTGCTTCCTTCCAGCGCAGCAGGTGGAGAGCGGGGCTTGCTTGCTTAGATAGGGAGGTAGGAAGGAAGGTAGGTATGGATATACCTTGAAGGCAAGTAACGGGTCATTTAAACCGACCTCTAACCCTCTTTTATAAAGGCCAGTTAAGGTAATCGTCGGCTCGCTTAGGTGGGCCTCCTTTCATCCTTTCAGTCTTAGTCGGCATAAGCGATTGCGGATCGGAAGCGAATGCGGATTTTTTCGAATATGTTAGAAATTCTTTAATACTATAGCATTTATTATTACAATTAAGAAATATTTACATGAATAATTAATCGTCTATTATATCGTCTTCCGAAACATTTAAAATCGTATTATCCGATAAAATATCTGACCATCGATCATTATTTTTATTAGAATTTGATTCGTCTTTTATCTTACGCAACGAATCGTTTGAATCTCTATTACTATCAAAATTAAAGCTATCGCTATCGATATTAATACTAAGAAAAGGAATAATATTTTGCTTTAAAAAAAGGTCTCCGATAGTATCGGTTATAATTATTAAATTATTATCATCGAAAAAAAGTTCAAGTTGAGAAAGAGTTGGTCGAGGAATACTTTTTTTACGAAGCCGCAAAATTTGACGTTCAAGAAGTTGTTGCATCTACTAAATCTCTTTCGAATCGAGAATTAAAATAAGTATTAAATCGTCGTTTTTAATAATTAAACTTGCAGCGTTTTCGTATAATCTTTTTACGCTCGCGCTTAGCTTTGCGTAAATCGATTCCTTTACGATATTTAGCATTTTTGTTTTAAATTTTATC